TACCATGAGTTTTTTTTTTTTTAGAACACCAAACAAAAATTTCCGAGTTTACGAAAACTTTTCAATAAACTGACATTCTGGACCAGTTTTGACATAGAAGAAATTAACATCGAGAGTAATGGATTAATGGATGGAGGTGGACGAACAAAATAACAATATATACATAATTTTATTCATCTTGCATGTCGCAAATCGCCGAAATATAAATACGAATTATCTAAGACAGGCTGTTCGTAGCTTAAATTAGTAATGCCATTTTAATATGACGTATAAGCTTGTTTAGATGAACATAAATGCTATACTCTGGTATTCGGTATCCATTGATTTAATTTCTCGAATATTGTCATTAAATTTTAAAAATATGACTATGGGATCTCACAGTTTGCACTGTTCATGGATGTTTCCCCGAGTGTCGACTTCTTCGTTTATGACGATGGCAATGACCGATCAGCTATAAACTAACAATTGCGTATCAATTGACACTATAGTGGTTTCTCAGACTAATAAACATTGGCTCGTCTTTTTGTAATGTTGTCAATACCTTCATTTATTATATAATTTTATAAGGATGTCATGAAACCAAGATCATTCATCTGAAAATCGACAGGATAACAAGTTAAATATAATATGTATGTGATATGAATATTTGGCCCTCTCAGCTTCTGGAGCTAAAGTCTAAAAACAACTTTGCAGTGTTTAGTAAATGTCCGTTAGTCAAGTTTGAGTAATTGTACATTTTATGTACAACAGTGAAATGATAAATCTGGATAAAACTTCCATCCCTCATTTTGCAACGATTTTCTTTCAATGCAAAGTAGGATTTAGTTATATGAATCGTGAATCGACTGTTGGCCCAACGTACTACCTCTTCGGGAACACGTTTGTCGTCGTATTCATGTCCTGTGGGGTATAGTCATGTACGAGAATATTTCTGGACTCCTCGCCGTCAAAACGTGGTACAAGCGACCACTGTCTGTTGTGGCTTATTCAATCATTTCACCACTAAGTCAATGCCTGCCTTAAATGAACACACGATATGGACCATTATTATTCGAGCGAAATACCATGGTTCCAGAAAATTAGATCGTTTAATCGACTTTCCTTTCTCCAGGATAAATATGTAAAATCTTATCCCTAAGTCCTGACTACATTTACCTCCATAAAGCGTATTATTTTTGCGACAAACTGACGAATTATTTTTCAATACAACAATAATCGATGCATTAAAATCAATGAAGGCGCGTGAAAATAATTAAAAAAATTTGTTAGAATTAATCTTGCCGCCTTATTTTGGATATTCAAAGTTCAAAACTTTTTATTTATTTTAATATTCACATTTCATCCACGTATTTTCAACGTTTTTTTTTTTTTGAACAAAACACACTTTCGTCTTACTATCTTTTATTTGTAGCTTATTGCTAGCTAGTTATTTTTGAGGTGGGGCGCGATAATTGAGAAATTCTAAACAGTGGGCGCGGCCTTAAAAAGTTTGAGAACCACTGCGTGAAATCGTATTTCGCTATTTAATATTCTAGACCAGGGCTTCCCAAACTAGGGGCCGCGAAACGAATTATAGGGGCCGCAAAGAGAACACCAATTTTACACAAAGTACCATATCTATTGTACTTTTTCAGCAGACTTTTGATTCGAAATACAATTAATAAAAATAGTGCAAAACAATAATTTCACGATTCCGAGTGAATACATCATCATAATACCGTGTTTCCCCGAAAATAGGACACTGTCTTCAATTTTCATTCGAAAATAACACTAGGGCCTATTTTTGGGATAAAGAATAACGAGATTTTTTATTATACAAAATATGAATATCAATTTCCATTTACTTATAAATAGCAAGTTTTTTTTTCAAAATAACTGCTACATATAGATTATCAACCATTCAAAAAGTAGAAAAGACTGGGACTCAGTGGTTCCCGAACTTCATTGTATTTTGACGCCCTTGAAAAATATGCACAAGTTGCGACTCCCCGTGAAAATAGTATTGATACCTTTTAATAAAAGACCTTTTTTGCAATGAGTTTCATATAAACAAACAAACAAATCTTAACGACAGTCAGTGGAATCTGCCTCATATAAATACGAAATCGCAAAGCAGATGGGAGTGCGCAACGCTTTTTGAACCAAGGACAAATAATCTTTATCCACAGAAAACCGAATTTTTAGAATTAAACTTTGTTATTAAAGCCCCATTACAGGTAAGACCGATTTCATCTTCTTTTTTTTCAGTAAAAGTATAAGATATGAGTTGTTTGAAAGGTTCACGAATCACGAAATTTTCCGACGCCCTAGCAAAATTGAAACGACGGCACGGGATTGAGTCAAAAATAAAAGTTGCGCTATCGACTAAGTCTTTTTTAAAGGCGAGCGCTTATATTAAAATTCTTTTTAAAATTCAGGCTTGGTCTTATCCTCGAGGAAACACGGTGAATCATCGCGCTTGTATGACAATGCATATTCTGATCGTAAGACCCGATTTGCGGGTGCTTGCATAACAATAACGACGGCTATAATCGTTAATCTAGTGATTTCCGAAGACGATTTGCTGAGTGCGCCTAGAAACATATTACCTATTATATTTATTCTAAATGTTTTATTGTTTCTCATTGTTGCAAATGTTGTATATATGAACAAATTCATTTTTACTGTTCTATGTTGTGTACTTTCTGTTACGTAGGGTCTATTGTTACGTAACATAAGAGTTACCGGTAAACCCTACCTACATGCTGCAATTTCGTAGGCTGCAGTTTATTCATTTGCTTTATCGAGTTTATCAAGTATATATGAGTGATTTTTTTAGCATTTTGAAGAAAAACCAGGCAGAGATAAAAAGAAAACGTTAACCTTTTGCCTTCATTCAACAGGCCTACATGTTCAAAAAACTCAAAAGACATAAAGTACATATTAACGATGACAAAATTGTGTTTTGTTTTGAGTCAGCCTATTTTTCGTGTAGGTGCGCCATGAGTTTTTCCTTGATAAATTGGCGTCGCACAAACCGCTGCCTCATGCTAAGTTTGATTAATAAGGGTGAACAATTCGAGATAAGCACCATACCGTCGATAGCCAGACGTCGTAATTCATCATTTAGGCCTGCATAAACATACATTGAGCCAAGTCTGGACTTGCTATGCAGAAAAAAAGCGTTCGCACTCATTACACTGAATAATTGAGTAACGTTAATCTGAATAAATATGTGCTTGTTATTGAGTAGGCCTAATAAAAGTTGAGAATTAGCCGATAAAACATCAAAGATGCATTTCGAACAGTTTAGCATTATTAACGTGGACAAGGGCCGCGAAAAATTTTATTATATCGAAAGAGGGGCCTCGAGCTGAAAAGTTTGGGAAGCCCTGTTCTAGAATAGACAATCGCTCAAGTATACCCTCGGTATTAAGTCAAGCCTCCCTGACAGTTATTCGAGAAAGAGTTCGAGTCATTTTTTTAAGTTTAAGTCACTTCAGTGTTTGAAAAAGGTGACTCGGTCGGATTTGAGTCATTGACTCGAGTGGCCTAATTCTTCTAATTTGTTGCTGAAAATGTAGAACTGGTTCATGTCCATGTATATTTTTATTCCAAAATATTACCTCATGGCAGCCAAAAGCTAAAATACTGTGAAAGTTAAAAGAAAGTATAAAGCGTGCTCATATTATAATGTGACACTGCTCGACCAGGGTGTGTATTACGTATATTTCCAATGCAAAACTGTAAATTTCAATGAAAATAATTCATATGAGCGCATAACACTTTGAATTTTAGATTGTACTATTTTAATAGCAGTACGTGCCTATTGAACGATGTTAACCGGGTGATCCAATTATAGAGACTATAGAGAAATCAAATCTGAATAGTCACGTTTTCCTAAATTCATGTCACTGTTGCTAAATGTGAAATGGTCGATCATTTCCGAAAGTTTCGAAATACTGTAGCCATTTTAAAGGTTGTCTAGTCATTTATTCAAAAATCAAATTTGGACATTTCGTAAATGCGAAAAGCATAATTCATGGTAAACAGGATGTTAGCATTATATTACTGATTTATATATATATGCGATGTATTGAATATATACACGAATATTGAAACAACGGTAATTATTTACTTTTTTAATATTTTAAATTTGATTTTTTTTAATTACAATTTTGTGAAATACCTTCAAAATTAATATTCGTTTGTTAACGCGGCTGTTATAGTAGTAATTCAGCAAAAAACCCCGTTATTTTTTTGAAATTTTATAAGAAACAATTAATTTGGTGATGAGTAATGGAATTTTAAAATTTTAATGCATTTTTTGCGAAGACCAAAACTGATATCGATATGGAATGTACCTGTTGCATTAAAAAATCAATTAATTCAAATGAATGATGCTGGAATTTAAAATTGGCGATTCTCATTCTGCTGCATATTTTATAGAACTTCAAATGTTAAACACTGTTTGGTACTAAACTCACACACAGCTTTGTAAATTAAACTCACAAGTTGAATCACTGATTTTACTATAATTGCCTCATAATAAAAGAATTTGTACCATAAAGACTTCCTATTTTTAGGTACAGCAACACGATTCATATGTTGATTAATGCTACAATGAATCGTTCAATTTGTTTTACCTGTCGCTTTGAAATTATGAAAAACGAGTTATGTGAATACTAACAGCACGCCATTGTTCATTTCCGCCAATCATTGAATTATCAATTGATTATGTTTTTAAAAAATTCAATACATGTAACCGGATTCAAATTGAAAATAATTGTTGATTTTTTAGTAATAAACACATCAGCCTGTTTTCCGTTAATACGTGCCGCTTGACCATTACTCATATTTTTATTACATTCTCGCAAGAACGATACCGAACGTGATGCTATTACTGTTCGTTATGTTAATAAAATAATTCATTCAAACATTTACATGTAAATTGCAGTTAATTCATGATTTTTTTAACATTGTTCTATACGTACAGGATGTTTGATTCATGAATTCCGATCAAATATAATATGAATGTTTTATTTTTTAATTCCATATCCATCAATAAAAGCAAACAAAATAAAACGGAATAAAAGTATTCACACATATGACTTTAATAGGTGCCGTAGTAATCATTGATATTCTTAGAGACATTATCAAGATTATAAAAAGAAAAGAATATGCGCTAGAATTACTTCGTAATGCTACTTTTCAGGGTTGAAGGTATATATGGAACTTTTTTGACACTTCAAATGATATCTACTGAGAAATTATTTTGGTCACGGTATGTCGAAAGAAATGAACTGTCTAAAGGCCAGTTGGTATCAATAAATAAATGTTATAGGTTCCAGGTTCAATGCTTATAAGTGAACTAACACTAAGTGACATAATAAATTTGGGGAAAAGGAAAATTGATAGAAAACTTTATCAGAATAAAGTTCATGGGTAATTAGTTTTTAATCGGATACGGATGCCGAGTAAAACAACCACGTATTTATTCCTTATTCAATCACCATGAGAGAGACTTGATTGATTGACTGATAGAATTCCGGGATATACTTGGTATTCATTTTACATCATTTTAAAGACGACTTTGTAATACTAGTACCCCGGTTGCTTGCATGAGATGTTGATGGCATGTTTCCTAAAGCTTTGGCCCTTTCCTCTCTGGTTGTTTTCCAGCAAGGTATCAACATCTTATTCCAATTGTCAAAACAAAATATAATACACATAACATTCACAATTAAATTGATAATATAAGTGGAAGAAAACATGTTTGTTTCTTTTGAAAATGAAACAATCGAAATAACCAAGGAAATTATGTCGGTAAATATACAAATCAATGTTAATATAATAGCCTTCTTAACACGTCCCATTACTCGCGTTCTGGAACGGTTTTCATTAGAACTGTTGCTTGCTAAAGCAGATCTGCTAATAATAGGATACACGAATAAATACAGCAACGATACCTGCATCAGTGTGCTCACGATAACGTATGATATCAAAATTGCCCGAAGATATTTGGCTGTATCTGAGGCTGTTACACAACCAAGTCCAGGTTTGTGCTCGTAATGTACGATCACCATAAGACAGCATGAAGCACAGATGGCATACGTCACCCACAATATCAGTATTACATAACTAATCGTAGATAATTTTCGGCTGTTCAAATGGGACAGTGCTTTGTGTATGTAGAATATCCTCTGCCTCGTCCATAAAAAAAAGTAAATAATGAAAAAACATATTATTAAACAAATTTCTCTTGATTTTCCCAGTGCGTTGCAATCATATGAAAATTTTACGAATATTATTTGCTGAGATTGGCCATCAACAAATGATGTTGATAATTTCAATGCACTAAAAATAGTCAGTACAAACGATCCGCCAATACACAATCCCCTGGCCATTCCTCCAATTTTTCTTTCCCTAGCATTTCTATTTGCACAATTTTTCAATCCTTTTTTGCGGCGTAATTCGTTGATAATCAGAACAGCAGTAACGTAGACACCGTAGACAATCCCTATAATAGCAACTGCAACGTTAGCAACCCACAGCGATTGCTTGTTGTCTGTCGCGCCTTCTTCAGTTGACTCCATATTATCTTTGGTCGTTGTCAATTGATTATGTCATTAAGTACACGTATTATTGTATGCAGGAAATTTGATTTCATAGCCACGCCGATCACCTACTGTTTCAAATCAGACAACTTCCAAATCAATTCGGCAGCGAAAACTCACTAGACGTGACTCGCTGACCAGTAAATTGTAAATGATTCAACGATAGTGTCAAGCCGGATACAAATGTCACAAATTACCCGAATTTCAAAAATCGATTATTTCTTAGGATTTGAATTTATTTATATGATCTGCCAATTTTAAATGGATGACAAAGTATCTTTTGAATTTCTGCTTGTTCTTTGTGACGTGTTCTGCGTTGATGCTAGTTTCGCGAGTTTCCTCTCCGGTCCGGGCTTGATCATACATGGCACAAGCATTGTGTGCCAATTGTCAAAACAGAAGATTAAACACATCATATTGACAGTCAAGCTTATGACATAAGGTGGCGTAAAAGTGGTTTTGTCACTTGAATAAGTTAAAGTTGCAATAACGGGGGCAGCGATATCCGTGACAATGCATACCACAGAAAGAGCAATTGCTTTTTTCACTCGCCACATTATTCTTGTCAATGGACTATTTTCTGATCCCGGAGACTTCCCTGATCTTCTTCGAGACATTTGTGAGGATATAATTGATCGTTTAACAATCGGGTAGATAAAAAGAACAAGCAGGCAAACTTGCATCAAGGCAGTAACTACGACGAATGATGACGATATGATTCGTAGAGAAGTACTGGAGTCGATATCTAACCGGCAACCAACTCCGACCTCGTAATCGTACCTGGGCAAGATGGCGATTGCGACTATCGATGTAACGCTATATAGAATCCACAATACCAGAATGACATAACTAGTCACGGTCAGTGTTTTACTGTTCAGTGGTCTCAATGCTTTATGAATGTAAAACACTCTTTGCCTTGTCCACAGAAATAAATATGCCAAAAAAGACGAAAACAAGAGTGATGCGTTGGCTACTTTAAAGAGAATATTGCAATCCCACGGTTTGGTAGTCTTGTACCTTGCGTCTTTTTCCACAAAATCGATAATGGCTTTGCTTGCACTGAATGTTGCTGTAAATATGGCCGACAAAATGCACAAAATTCTTGCTATTAGTGCAAATCTTCTTTCTCTGATGTCCCTGTTGGATGGTTTATTTCTAGAATTCCGTACATAATGATGTACGACCATTGTTGCTGTGACATAACTGCTCAGTATAAGTCCAAAAAGATTTAAAACAACATTGGCAGACCAGAGTTTTTCGTCGAATTCAAAAACCACCTCCGTGGTATTTGAAGATGAATTAATGATTTCAGACATTGCCATTGAATAAAATGTATGAACTCGAATCGTCGGTCTTGTATATAGAATTGACTGAATACATAAGATTATAACATGAGTAATGAAACAAAGTTGTTTACACTGTACCAGGACATGGAATCCAATATTATCGACATATCACATTTTTCCGAATTTGTTTTTCAATTTATCTTATACAACTACGCGCCTCATGAAATACTAAATTTGCCTTTGTATTTCACGTTTATAGAATTTAGAATCTTTTTTAAACCCCCGCCATGCTCACTAGTAATATTAAGCCCGTCCAAACCGGACTATCACATTTTAAATCAATGTCTTAGAATCATTACATCAATTTTTACAATTTCAAATGTTAGACTAAAACTATATGTTCACAATAATACGACATATTTTATCATTTACATCTAAACTGCCATGAAAATTGTAAGTTCATTCGCTTTTTGAATCCCAAAAGTTTATACAATTCTCCTCAGAGCACTTCTCTTTAGCTATGTAAAAATTTAATTTTATTATTGCCTCCATAGTTTAAATAAGATTCAACCAAACAAGATAACAAAACAAAACGGCGCTCGTGATAGGCCCGATGCAAAAATGTGACGGACCTTCGAAAAATCGAACTATTTTTACCTTTGGTAAAATTATATAAAAGATACCACTTTATAAAAGTATCCATATACTAAATGACCCGCCTTAGACTTCTTCTAAATAAGTTTATTATTATCCTGTTGATTCTACGACAATATTTTCTTACACTTGTTCGCTGCATGATATTACTTTTTATATTTCAAAAACGGATAGTCATAAAATGTTTGTTTCCACATTCTATCAAACTATCTGTTTAGTTGGTATAGTCATTTTATACCTTTCAAACCTATGATTAAATGTCACGCCACTTGGAAACATATCTCAACTCTACTATTAATTAAACGATTCCACTTTAACGATTAAGAGCTCACCTGACTTGGAATGCCATGGTTTAAAATAAAGTAGGTTATTAAAAATAATTTTATTTGCAGCATTTTGCTTTGTTTGAGCTCATTCCTATTGCAATTCATTTATATAAAATCTATTTGAACATAATTTCATTTGCACATTCTACAATTTACATTTACACTCTTGTTATGACATTGCAAAATACTGGTGGTTTAGATATTCTTTGAAAATTATTTCTTGATTCTAGCTAACCTTCAGCACTTCAACCACGACAGCAATAATTTCGCCACGCCAATATAGCTGTTTAGCATTCACTGGATTGCTAGTTATGATGTAATTATAACATATATGATTGTCATGTTTGTAGTTAATGTCTAATCTAATTTGCATAGATTAAATAGTTTTCTGCTCACCTTTTCTCAAGATTTGTTTAATTAGAATATGTGTGACGTTTATAATCTATATAAAATGTAATTCTATTCAATAAGGCTATTTTGATAAATTTCTAGAAATTTTGCCACCAAGCAGTTATTTTCGCTTTTCGTTTTGTTATTAAAAGAGATTACGTGACCCGAAAGTGTCTTTTTAACCTACGTCGAAACGAAAAACAACTTACCAAATTTAAATTTATTTGAAACGTCAATCAAATCCTGCAGCGAATTGCGATAATCAAAATTGCAGTCTTCCATTTCTAGCGAAAATATCAGAAATCATTGCCTTTCCATTTTCAAATCGACTAATTATGGGACGAACGTGGATCCGCAAGAGCTAAGCTAATCAACATAACTAATAATGCCTATCTAACAAAGGACATGAAGTCCACAATACAAATAAGTGCTGTGCTTAATACGGTTAAAGGCAAATGATGAATGTTGGCAAAATCTACGTTGGTTATATATTATTTTACAGATTTGCCAACTTTTTTGAACCATTTGTGAAATGTTTTGACTTGATATGAATATTGCATAAAATAATGCAAAATTTAATGTTCATCATCTGAGGCCAAAATATTTATGCATGTCCTGGTATTTGAGATATTCATATACGCTTTAGAAAAGTACCAAATCAGACTTTTTTTTTTTTCGGTGCCGTCATTTTCGAACTTTGCATATGGCATTAGTAAAAAAATTGTTTGATGGCTCAGTTTCCTGATCGATGTATTTTTAGCTTAAAACCTATCCTGTCAAACCAAAGTTTCAATATTTGATTGTAATACTCATAAAACGTGCCCACTTAAAGCGTTTGATTTCCAACTGAAAAAAATATTTAGCAAAGTGAAATACCGTATTTTGGAAAGAAAGTAGGACATCGCACAGTATTTCACACCAACCGGCAGTTATTTGACACAGTTTCAAAAGTACAAACATCCCCACTTAAACTTCAGTAGAGCGCATATAAGATACGAAATAGCCTATCCATCCTGGTTTACTTGAAATGATTTTCGTCAGGGATCCAGCTTTGTTTTTCTACTTCATCAACTTATTTGTGTGCACAAATTTCACGACATTTCTTTGACTTGACTGTTCTCTAGAATAGGCACTTGTGCACTTGGTTTTGTGGATTTCAAGAGCATTCAGTGGAAAAACATTTTCAGGAGTTTACTCTTAACTCATGTACTATTCCGAGATAGATTAACTTCGATAGATCAAACAACTATAAAATGTCTTTTCGATATTCAATATTTTTTCAAATCTTTTCTGATTTTTATCTTCGTTGACTGCACATATTATCTTATTTTCTTTCTATCCAACTTGTGGATAAACCAAATTTAGTAGTGGTGTATTATTATCGAATTCTGCACAATATGCAAATGTAACATTCGTTTTTCAGTAAGAGAAAAATGTGATCGGACGCCATATACGAGGTGGATAAATGTGCGGTAGAGGTTTTCGAGTAGGCTTATACAACTTCATGTGTAGAGTAAAATTAGGTGTTTGGATATTTATGCCAGTAAATTTTAAGTTATTTTTTTAAAAGTGCGCAGGAACCCGCAGTGAAGGAGGGAGATGAAATTGAAAATTGTTAGTTTTTGCGGATGACTGCGATAGTATTCCTTTCACTTATCTTCATAAACTCTCGTATTATTTAACAACAATTTATTTTAGTATTGAATCATCATAATGTCATATACTACTATAACATCAGGATGCATTGATAACAGGTATCAGAACAAAATTCGATTCAGCAGTATCTACAATGAATAATATCTACATGTCATTTGGGGTATAACACACCTCACACACCAGTTTCAAACAAGCGAACACACCAGTTTCGACCCAGATCCCAACAAAGTTGATCAAATATGTGTTTAATAAATTAAAATGCGATGATTGGGTAGAATTAAAAGGGATTTAGTGGAAATACGCGAAGGTTAGTTTTGAGAATAGTATCCTACTATTTAAATTCACCCAGAAGTAAATCATCCAATGAAGAAGTGAAATATAATAAAAACGTAATACTTACGATTTGAAAATCCTTGTGTTTTCTCTGTTTTAGAAACTTGTATGTTAATCCATTTATATAGATATTTTAGTCCTGTTTTACTCCATCTAACAATATACACTGACGAATTTCCCTCATGAAGTAAAACTGTAGACGATAGCTAATCTTAGAACATTTGTTATCCATACAATATCCATTACGTTTTTGCATAGATTTGTTGTATCGAATTTTGAAGCAAAATACTGGCCGCAATTTTTCGTTCATATAATAAACAATGTTTGAACCAACGTCCAATAAATACAGAGTTCTCTTTTTTGTGAGCGTTTTGAACTAAAATATGCCGCCTGACTAGAAATCCGTTCGTTTATAAATCTCCCCTTACGTTGAATAATTCTTCAATTTTGGTTTATATGAAGAACAAGCTGGATCGCGATGCCATCCGCACTTCAAAATATACCTGTTTCAAATTCCAAATTTAATTTTTGTTTCTATAATTTCGATTTTTGAAACCAATTTGAATTTTGGAATACTTTAATGATGTCTTATGACTGCAATTTTTTGAAAAAAGAGAGAAATATTGACATTATTGTGTACTTATTTAAAATCTCATTGACTGAAAACAAGCTCCATCCAGACTCGATCAAGTGTAACAAGACATCAGGAAGTGCGTCTGGGTTATTACTAGCGGTCACATCAAGCTGAACAAATGCTATATACGGAAATAATTTTGATGTTTCAAAGGGAATCATTTACCATTTGTCATTAAAACACTAATTGACTAATTATGTACTTTTAGTACAATCCGTCATGAAAATAAGCACTGGAAGCAGTTATTATATTATTCTTTGAAACAAAAATATTAAACTAATAATCTTATATGTAGTGATATTTTTGTCCACTCTGGGAGAACGCGGTCTGTGATAGAAATCAAAATCGGGATATGAAATAAACAGAGAGTCATTTTATCATTAAGCAATTTGGGAATTGAATAGGTTCGAATAGAAAGAGAATATTGAGCGATGAATATTTTACGAAGTTATATAAAGTTAGATGGCCAATGGCGCGGCGGTGTGGCTCAACGGGCTAAGCGTTAGGGATACGCTCGCCACCGCACCTCTAATTACTCTGCGTGGGTTCGCAGGTTCGAATCCCATGCAGGGATGGTTATGTGCGAGAGGATTGCTGGACTCCTCGCCGTCGTTGGGTCGTTCACATAACCGCTGGTCGGTTACGGCTTCCTCCACCACCAAGTCCATGCTTCCGAAAACAAACAATATAACTAATCCCATACCCGACTTGGAATGGTAACCGGACGAGAGGCCATGGTTCGCCATATGGATACGTCGTCTCATCGGCTTTCCTCTCCCCCGGGATAAATATGTAAATCCTATCCTAAAGCTCATAATATTATCATTTGTTTTCAATATCGAGCGAACTGAAGCAAAAAAATGTTGTTTGTTGTTCTATGGGATAGAAGGAGCTTAAACCAATAAATGGTTAATAGGCTAAAATAGGATGGATCAATTATTGCTTTATTTTGCCGAACATCTTTTAACACCTTGAAAAATTGTTCCAGGAATACTTTAGTGGACTTCACAATCTTGAATAGCGTATAATGGGTAATATATTGTATCAGACAAAACGTTCATGAATGCCCTACAAAAAAAAAGAGAAAAGTAATATGCAGTGTACTTTGACAGTTACAATAGGTTACAATATATTAACTCCCCTGAGCTATATATTAATTTAATACCATTTAATTCATTTTTTCAAATACTGCTGACCTAATTCATTCCTTTTCACTTAACTTAGGAAGAGACATGCGTTTTATTTTGTTTGGTGGCGAAATGACCATGTAATTCCGAAGCGGAAATATTCTGGTCCTTTCAAAAATAATGGGAACAATATATATCAATGGATGTCTATGCTTGTATGGAGAAAGATTTGTTTTGAGTTTAAACGTGTAAAAACGATGCAAAAAGTGCGCACGTTATCCCTAACCAAGGTCGACCAATAGATCCATAGTAGACGAG